CCGCCCACTCCGTCCCTCCCCCCGCCCCCTACACCTGTCGGGCCGCCCTTGCCGCCGCGCCCGCCTCGCGCCCCTGCCCCTCCCCCCTCCTTTTCTCCTCGTGATCTTCCTCCTCCACCGCCAACGGCGGGGCCGTTCGCGGAAGGCGGGGGCGCCGCTCGCGGTGACGCGCCGCGGCCGTGGAAGGGGGGCCGAAGGAGAAAAGAGAATGAAGAAGGGCACGGGGCGGCAAGGGAAAAAAAACAAAGACGAGAGAGGAGGGGGGAGGCACTGACAGAGGGAGGCTGGTAGAAAGGAGGAAAAAAAGGGGAGGAGAGAGGGGGGCGAGGCAGGAGAGAGGACGAAGGAGGAGGAGGAATGACAAAAGAGGAGGGACGACGAGGAAGGAAAAGGGAAATCACAGGGGCAAGCACCGCCCTTCCTGGCGCAATGGATGGCGCAGCCGCCGCCACTTGTGAACAGCGCAAGCACGGCGGGCCGACGGCCGTTGCGCATCGCTGCTCGGAGAAATGTCAGGGGCGGGCAAAGTCGCGACTGCGTCGCGCATGCGTCGCGCGTGCGTCGCGCGTGCGTCGCGCGTGCGTCGCGCGTGCGTCGCGCGTGCGTCGCGCGTGCGTCGCGCGCGTGGCGCGTGCGTCGCGCGTGCGTCGCGCGGGTCGATCGTGCGTCGCGCGCCGGCAGGGGTGCGTCGCGCGCGGGTCGGGGTGCGTCGCGCGCGCGTCGCGCGCGCGTCGCGCGTGCGTCGCGCGGGCGTCGCGCGGGTCGTTCGCGCGTCGCGCGCAGGTCGCGCGCGAATCGCTCGAAGGGCGCCGTGGACTCCTGACGGCATGTGAACTGCACGGCCCGCTGGCGAAACAATCAAGGGATGCGCGCGGCAATCGTAGAAATAGCGAGACACGCACGTGAGAACTACGAACGCGAGGAGACCAAGAGACGACATGGAGATGCAGCGCGCACGGACTAATCCATTTCAAGCGCACGCCCCGTCAGATGTTGAACATCGGTCCGTCGCTGCAGCAATTTGGCGACGTCTCGCCCGCCGATGCATTGGGGGGGAAAAGAAGATGGAAGTGAGGCGAGGGAAGGGCGGGCGGAAATGGGAACGGACGGGCGAGGAGGGGGCGCGCGGGGGCGGCGCAGCGGCGGCGGGAGCGATGGAAGGCGATCGAAATGGGGGCGGCGGGAGCGAGGAGGGCGAGAAGAAGTTCCAGGAGGGTGGAAGGGCAACGGGGGGCGAGTAGGGAGGCGGACAGGACGGCAGCCTGACATAAAAGAACTGAATACAAATTTCGGAAACGGGACAAAACGCGCAGCGCGTTGGACGAGGGGAAGAGGAAGGAAGAGGGGGGGGCAGGAGGATTGGAGCGAAACGACATGGGGGTGCGGGGCGCGATGCGACGGGGCGAAGTGGCGCCGCGTCGCGCGACGCGACGTCACCCCCACCGGGGCGCGACACGCACAGCCCCCAATCAACGCGAGGCGTATTCGTCCTCAGCAACGGTTGGCGCCCCCGACAATGAGCACCAGCAAATCCTCTTGCGCCGAATTGGGAACAGAACGCGTTGGTGGACCGTCGAACTAGGAGTGCGCCGCGCCCGCCAAAATGGCTGGTGCACGGGCGTCGGAAACCTATATATCGCCAGAGCAATTCCGAAGTCGCGCCATATGTCGCCCACGCACTCTGGGAGGCCGGGATTCGGGACAGAGACGCAAACCAGGGCCGGCGCACGGGCGACGCTCGGGCGACGCACTGAACGAGAACTTGAAGGGGGGGGTGGTCGCTTCACTGGGCCTTAACAGGGCAATGATCCCGAAAGGGTACGCGATGCATTGTAGAGCACGGCGTGGCATGGCGTAGAAGAGCACCGCAAAGCGTAGTATCAACCTAGCACTGCATTGCACGCCGTGGCATGGCACGGGAAATGACGCCAGCGCTGCAGCGGGAGCACGCGTCGAAACAAGCGGAAGCGCGGAAATGAGGCCAGCGCTGCAGCGGGAGCACGATTCGGAACGAGCGGAAGCGCGGAAATGAGGCCAGCGCTGCAGCGGGAGCACGATTCGGAACGAGCGGGGCCCGAAAATGAAGCCGGCGCCTCAGCGAGAGCAGCATTTTAGAAAAAAACACAAGCGAAAACCCAACTCCGGGGAATCCTGTGTGTAAAAAAACAGTACGCGGGGGGGTGCCGAATATCTTCCGGACGCCATCAGGGGAAGTGGGAGAGTAGTATTCATATTGTGTAATTGTGGAGAGCAGGGGGGGAGGAGGAGAAGGAGGAGGAGGAGGAGGAGGAGGAGGTGGAGGTGGGGACGCGGCAGGCCGATGGCCGAGGTGGGTCAGAGGCGGCGTCTGGCCCTCGGCCCTCCCGGCGAGGGCGGGCTGGACCCCACGGACCCGTCCCCGGGGTGCGCCTCTCCTCCTCCTCCTCCTCCTCCCCTCCTCTCCTCCTCCTCCTCCTCCTCCTCCTCCTCCTCCCCCTCCCCCTCCTCCTCCTCCTCCTCCTCCTCCTCCTCCTCCTCCTCCTCCTCCTCCTCCTCCTCCCCTCCTCCTTGGGTCGGGTGCTGCAGCGGTGGCCCCTGCGACACGCTGCGCCCTGCGCGCCGATGGCGCATCGCTCCCCTCCGCGGGCGGGACCCGGCCAGGGAAAGCTCGGGGTGCTGATGCTTAGCAGCCTCGAACGTATCCCTATCCCTAAGATTGGCACGCCCAAAGGCGATGACAATCTTAGGGATTCGCCCTCAAAAAATAAGGGGATTCCCTGAGATCGGCATCGTGATGAGGAGGTGCCCAGCATAAGGATAGGGATATGTTCCAGGCTGGTAAAACCCTCGTGGCGTCGAGAGGCCTACCGGAGGCATCGAGAGGCCGAAGATCACAGAACCTCCATCCTCCAACCCAGGTCCTCCTCCTCCGCTTCCTCGTCGTTGTCCTCCTTCGCGGCGAAGGAGCATGGCCGTTTGTGCGGAAGGGCCGGCCTGAAGGGACTGCTCTTTTCTCGCATGCGGTGGATCGGAGGGGGCCCCTGGACCGCGCACGGCACGCTCATATCGCGACGACTTGGGCGCTGGTTTCTGACACCGCCTGGATCGTTCAGCCTTGAAACATCGCGGCTGTCCGATAGCACAGGCCGTGCGACATCGGCAAACTCTGGACCACTGGCGGCGTCATACCCTTCACGCCCGCGTCGGGGCCGCCTTTCTTGTTAAACAATGTGCACCAGCCCCCAGTTCCCGACCCCTTCCCGTGGACTGGCCTCTCTGAAGGAGCACATAGAGACGGGAAAAAATACAAACCCGCACCAACGTGTGCAACCTTTTTGCTGTACTAGTGAGCCCAATAACAGGTGATTGAATGTAGCGGAGCTGGGGTCCACGGTCTCCCCGAAAAAGGGGCGATAGGTTCTTTCCCTCTCCAGCATGAGTTGAGCCAACACGGGCTCTCATCAGTACAAAGTTCACGCATTAATCAAAGCATTCGATGTTACAACAGTCGCTGCGCACACGACTTCATTCACATCTTCCCATGTATATGTAGATATACATATGTATATATATATATAATATATATATATATATATATATATATATATATATCATGTCTCCTGGACTCCTCCTCGAGCCCGTCTGCAGCTTGATAAGACAGGGATCACCATCGGATACATCAACACCTTCCTCGGATAGCTGAGTGTGGAACGGCATCATCATGACATCCCTATGTCTGAAACGTCACCTCATGTTTGAACTCCGCCACGGCAACGTCCATACACGTGTCAACAACCAAAGCCTTCGTGCTGAACATGTAAGGTCTGGTAATCATCCGCTTGCGTAGGCTATCCCGTCCACTCTCGATGGTCATATATGTGAAAGCCTCGTGAAGCTGCCGACGAACAACTGCTTCAGCAACTGGTAGTGATCAAACATCCCGTAGACTGTACTGCGTGGCTGCATCGGCTTTCTGCCCAATACCCAATAGCTTCATTCTCAAGGCCGTAGTGCGCGCAGGCTGCGTGCTACGATCGGTCCATCCCCAAGCTTTGTTGTAGACGATGACCGTGACGATGGACGTAAGTGCCGCCACCGCCGCGCATATCATGAAACGCTCGATGCCAAAATGGCCGTGACTGCGTAGGTGCTCGCATCTGGAACGCTGACCTTGGTTCCCTCGGCGCGTCCGGCTTGTAAGAAGGCCGCGAGTCCCAAGGGACATCTCGCCGTAGCCTCCATTCGCTCCATCGCAGGTTTGCCGACCGAACTTGACTTCTCACCCGAAATTCCACCAACTTCTCCTTTTCCAATAGGCGGTACTCCCATTGTGCGCAAGTGCTTCCTGAAGTCCATCCTCGTAGGGTGCGCGGTGCCGAGGTCTGCGGTGTTCCCGTCGGCCGTGGGCCCCCCCTGCGCTGAACTTGGCATCCTCCTTTCTTGCCGCGAGATCCTCGATCCACAGACTACTCTGCTCGGCGAGCCTCCTCCTGCCAACTCACTTCTTCTCCACGTTGGTCAAGGGGCTGGAGTTGTCGCCCTCCAGCCTCGCAGGTACTGTAATATCCAAGATCCCCTTCAAGTAGGTCTGGGCGCCCCTAGCCTCGATGCCGACACGCGCGGGCGCGTTGAACTCGGCGTCGAGCGACGACGGCGCTGGAGCCCCCCGCGTCTCGACGAACTGCATGATCAACGCTCCATCGAGAAACAACTGCCCGCAGCTCGTAGACCCCCCTGTCACAGGTTCCTCTGCCCAGTCTGAACCAGCACGCCCAATGCTGGTAAACTCGCCGCAATCAGGGTGCATGCGCGTGACCGATGACCGATGTCCTCAAAGAAACCTGACGCCCCTGGTAAGCCGCTTCTGGTCCTGGGCGGTAGGTCGCGACATCCCCCTCGAGCGCTCACTCCTTAGCCGCGCGCTGGCACCCGGGCCTCTCCAAACACACAAACATGCTGAGGCCGTTCGCGCTTCTGTATCTCGTGGCCGCCTTTGAACGCAACTCCCCCTCACTCTCGACCTTCTTCTCGCCCTTGATTCCTAGCAGTGGGCTCGTTCTCCTGTCGTAGGGGCCCGAGTCGATGAGTCGCTTCGCAATGGCAGGCCACGTCCGCGCTTGCCTGCATCCGGGGGCGCGGAGCCAGCCACGCCCAATATGCTTGATCTCAGGACCTCCAACCACCAGCTCGGACATCGTCAGAATGAGGTTTGTCCCGAGCTCGTCTAGTGCCTTCTTAGCGTTCTCCCTCGGCCCAACAAGAGTGCCGTCGTCAACGTGCGTTGACATGGCCACCTGATTCCCCTTGTCGGCGAACGTGCAAGGGTCTGAAAGCAACATGGTAAACTTCATATCCGACTCACCACTGCGTCCTGTGACGACTTTCCCGAAGTGGTCGTCGAAATCCACCGTCGCCCCGCTCAAGCCATACACCGTCTTGTTGAGCTTGAAAACCAAATCAGCATGGTCAGGAAGATGACCATGCTCCTTCGGGACTTCTGCGCACACCAACTGTCAAATCGGCGCGCACAGGGAGGCCCGCCATACACCGCGGAAGTAGATTCCGAAATCCTTCACACGCCCGAGTAAGACCATCAGCAGTTTGAGCGAAAACGAAGTAGAGCCCGTTCTTGCGCATGTTGGCCTGCTTGCCGAATGATCTCGCTCGAAGCCTTGCCTCGAACCCGCCGCTCCTCATCTCCAGAACCTACGTCCACGGAATAGGCTCGGGTCCCTCCGGGTCTCTGAGTCTCGCCCCCAGACGTCGCAGTTGCCGACGCGACCCTGCTCGCTCTGCTTCGCGCCCTACTCCTCGTCCTCGGCCCAGCCCATGACGATGCTGAGCTCGCGGCTGTTTGTAGTCTCCATGTCGACCTCCGCCATCGACGCCGTCGTCTCTTTCGTGCTGAAACTCGCCACGAGCTGCAGCGCCTCCTCGCCGCCGCGCTGCTCGATGGCCCCGATCAGGCCCCGATTTTCCGGCGGGCCCTCAGGTCCTCCCCCGCCCAGATCAGCTTCATCAGCTCCACGTTTACTGGGCGATCCTGGGGGAGGCGCCTCTGCTTGCCACGCGTCATCCGCTCGATTTCCTGCACCTGCTGTCGTACTTCGCCAACGCGATCAGGGGCCTCAAGACCTGCTGGTGGGTCTTGTCGCGGTTGTCCGTGATCTGCCACCAAGCTCGCTGCGGGCACTGGCATCGCCGCGACTGCTGGATGCTCGCCGCCCCTGGCGGCGATCGCTTCCTCGCATTCGGCCCGGCGCTGCCGGCGTGCCCCGAAGCGACGTGGCGGTCGCCAACGCCCATGCTGACCTTGAGCTGCGCACTTACGTCCAGGGCATCCCTCCGTCGGCTGCCAATTCTCGCCCTCATGGGCTCCACCCTTTGCTGATGCCCCCCAGGGCGTCCAGCGCATAGCTTTCAGGATCTCCAAATCGTAGCTCTCCTCGCAGGTCAGCTGCTTAACAGTCCTTGCCTGCGCTACCCGAGCGGCTGCGCCAACGACGCAGGCGTCGCTCTTGCCGCTGCGACCGAGCCGCGCCCCCTTGCGCCAGGCCGCCCCCAGCTTGCCGGTCAGCTCGGTCTGCCCCTTGCCGATGACCGCCCCGCCGAAACCCAGCGTCGGCGAGGCGTGGGGCGCCGATCTCAACTCTCCAGAGGGCGCGCGCCCACTGCTCCCAGTCCGCTGGCGCCTGTTGTGGCAGAACGCCAGATGCCGAACCGTCCAGGGAATGCCTGGGGCGTCCTCCACGAGCTTCATCACGTGGCTCTTCTCCAAAGCCAGCCTTCCAGTCCTTGCCAAGCCTGTGGCATTTTAAACGCCACTCTCAGCTCAACTTTGCGATGCATGACTCCCTTTCGGCACGGGCCGGAGGCGCAGCTGCGCGCCCGCTGCCCCCCCCAAACTTCTTCGCCCGATCAGCGAGAACTAAACTTCCAAACCTGGCTCTCCATCAACTTTCACCTCCGCGCTCGCGTAGTCAAGCTCGCCCGTGTGCTCGCTGACCACTGCCCTAGCATAGCTCCGATCGCCCCTCACGACTCCCGTGAGGTGGCCCGTCCTGCAATCCTCGCCAACTGCCGCAGTGGGCTCGTGACCAGATCCGTCTTCACCAAGCCCCAGAAAGCTGTAGTCGAACTGGATAACTGGAGTAGATGACACGCTGGAATTTCGCGCGCGGCTCGAACAGCTTCTTTTGGAACCTGCGCTGGTCGTCTCAGCCCAGGCGCGACGGGCGCCCCCATCGAATCTTGAGCGCCCTCAGCGGCACCACGAGGGCCATCTCGTGAACCAGTCGCTGCACTGTCCTCCAGCTCCTCCTTCGCCCCGGCGCGCGGCATCCCAGGGGGGGCCTGCGTTGCCGATGATGCGCTCGTCGCCCGTCGGCCCCATGAACTCCATGGGCAAATTGAAAGCGTTTACCTATCTCCGAAGCTGGATGGTGACAGTGCTTTGTCCATTTCGTTCTGCACATCTGCGCTACTCTTGAAAATCCTGGCGCCGCCTGGGCCGAAAAGCACCGAATACCCAGCATCGCTCATCTTCGCGACCGACGGAGCTTCTCGTCTAACATCGGCTGGTGCGACGTCGAGCTTAGCTGGGATAGCCGTCGCGTGGTCAAACACCGCGCCCGCGGGCGTGCGCTTGTCCCGCGCGCGAATGCCCTTGCCCGTAATCGATCGAAGAAACTGCCCACTGTCGCCTGTGAGCCTGCACCCTCCCGCCATAGCCTTTGGCGCAGCGCGCGCGTGGGCCCGCTGTCCACGAGCAGCTCGCGCCCCTCGTTGTCGCCCTGCTCGTCCGTAAACTCGAAGATCCAGCCCGCTTCTCCACCACCCGGTAGAATAGCCGCTTGGGCCCCTGCCCGATGTCCTCGTAATTGATGCCTGTGACGCCAGCGCGTTTGCTATCGAGGAACCTGGGTAGAGCGCGCTTGCCGCGCCCGATACAAGCGGCCGCAGAGTCGCACGCTGCGCCTCTGACTACTGAACTCCCGCAACGGATCTTCGACCTCCCCCTGGCTGGCGCGCGCCTCCTCCGCACTTCCTGCAGCCCGCGAGCTTGCGACCGTGATTGCCGAAATGTGGATTCGAACGCCATCCGTCGAAGGACGTTGGCCCGCCTTTCTTCGGTGATTCGCCTTCTTTGTTGCCGCCGCTCGCGTCGCCCTTGCCGCCGCCGCTCTTGCTCTTAGACTTGCCACCCGTTTTGCCATCGTAACCTTTGCCGTGCTGCTGGCGCTGCCCTGGCCGAGACTCACCGCCGCCTGCCTTGCTGCCGTAGCTATTGCCGAAACCGTCCAACCCCATCGCGTTCGGGTCGAACTTCTTTCTGATTGCCTTCGTGTCCCGCTGCGCCATCTGCTGAGCGAGCCCTTCGCAAGCCTCTCGCTAGCAATTGCGACATAATGTCCCTCATCGTGTGCGCGAGCCGCCGGTTATCTTCTCCCATCTCGGCCAACGTGCTCACATTGTTGTGGGATGTTGCCGTGGTAACTGCCGACGCCAACCTCGGGTCCACTGCGCCGAATGCGTTCAAAAGCTGGTACTGGAAAACCGGAAACTCCTCTCGACTTCCCGTGTACTAATTCGGTCGGCCGAATAGGCGGACGTTCACGACGACTCGCACCAGCCATGAGAGGAGAAACGTTCACGCTAGCTTACAAGCGCTTACTGTAGCAGTAAGCCTAATAACATGTTACTGAATGTAGCGGAGCTGGGGTCCACGGACTCCCCGAAAGAGGTGATATGTTTTTTTCCTCTCCAGCACGAGTTGAGCCACAACTGGTTCTCAACACTCAACAGTACAAAGTTTAAGCATGAACCGCAGCATGAAATGTTGTAACATTCGATGCACGCGCGACGTCATTCACATATCCCCAGACATATATATATATATATAAATATGTATATATATATATATATATATATATATGTATATGTGTATGTGTATATATATATATATATATATATATATGTATATATATATGTAAAAATCAGAGTGAGGGGGGCCCAAACGGTCATTCTTTGTCGTTGCGCGCGCGTAGCCGGATGGAGGGCACGGCCTCTGGGGGGCTACACCTGGGGGCTACTTTTGGGGGCTACACTTGGAGGCTACTCATGGGGGCTACAGTTGGGGGCTACACACGGGGGCTGCACCTGGGGGCTACACATGGTGGCTACACTTGGGGGCTACACATGGGGGTTCTGGGGGGACGGGGACAAGGACAACTCATCCGTAGTCATCTCTGCCCGAGCGGTTTCTTCCTGCACCATGGCACCCAAAGCGAAGGCTAAGGCGAAGGCTAATGGGAAAACTGACCGGATCCATCGCGTGCAGAATCTCCCCCAGGGTTCCGGCGGCCTCGCTGGACACAATGCAGGAAAACGGGCCAGCATCTTAGTCCGCCCTGGATCATTTCATGCCTGTCCTTGCTGCGGTGCGCCTGTACGAATCCCACATGACTACAAGGCAGGCAACGTCGTCCATTAGATGCCCGATACGGGTCCACACCCCTGGCGGCAACTGCCGGTATGATTACGATGTCAAGACGAAGCCGCATTGCTGGCGACACTGTCCGGTGGTGCCTGAGGAGCGCGCTGCTGCCCGGGAAAAGGCGGTGCGAGATGTTCTTCTCGCCATGGAGGTGCAGATCCAGGTTGGCGACGCCAGCGAAGCCAGGGCTCCAGGGGCGCGTGCGCACCGAGGCAGCTTTGCGCGTCCCGCTGGCTGGAAACGTGGCGCAGGCTTGCGTGGCGCATGTGCAAGCAAGCCCGTGATTCCTGCCGGATCCCTTGAAAAAGACCACCGACACCTGCTGCTCGCCCTTCTTCCCCGCTTTGCGCCCTCTTCCTCCGCCCTCGCCCTCCTGCTCCTTCTGCTTCCTCTGACAGGGCGCGCCCGCGCGCAAGGCTTCGCCCGCCGCCTCCGCCGCCCCCTCACTCTTACCCGCGACTGCGGGGTGCTACGTCATGGTTCCTGAAATGTTCCATATCTGTTCTCATAATTTCTGGGTTTATGTCTTCCCCCCCACTCCCCCCATATTCCCATAGTTCCTTGGGAACCGAGGATCACTCGTGTCTGTGTGTTGTTTCCCCTTCCGAACTCTCATCTGGAACTGCTTGACGCCCCTGGGCCCCCGGAGGCATAACGCGACGAACGACCTTGTGGCGTGATCTCTTCACGACGCGAGGTGGTCTGGGCTGTCTGCTCCATCTCATCCCCCGCATGTTGCTGATATCCCAGCCACGTGCACGTGGTAGTTGACGTCTCCGCTGCGCGCGAGCATGCGAGAATGCCTCT